AGCCCAGGGGGTCGTCAGCGCTCTCCCGGAGCCGCAGCTCCTGCCAGTGCTGCTCCAGGGCTTCGGCGTAGCGGCCTAGGCGGGGACACAGCACGGCCTGGCAGGCGTCGCGGGTGCGAGGGCGGACCTGGGGCGGCGTCTGCGGGAAGAGCCCGTCGACCCCCGGCCCCCGACCCCGGCGCGGGCCCCAGCCCCCAGCCCCCGGCCGTGCATCCCGCTTCCTGGTCCCAGCGCTCACCATGGCCGGCCAGGAGCTCCCCCAGCTGGTGGCACAGCGCTGCCTCCTCGCGCCGCTGCCCGGCCCTCTGCGCCTTGGCCTTCGCCTTGCTCAGCTCTGTCGGAGGAAGAGGAGAGCTGAGCCTCCGCGGCGGGGTTCGGGGCCGGGGCCGAGTCCCAGACCCTCCCTAGCCTCCGCGCCCCCGGCGCAAGGGGCCCCCGAGGGACTCACGGCGAAGCTCGCGATCCAGGCTCATGCTCGGGTCGCCGCGGGATCTGGACTTCCCGCGCTGCGCCGCGGCCCCGCCCCTCGCCGCCGACACGCAGGCCCCGCCCCTCGACGGCGGCGGTGGGCGCGGGGCATGCTGGGAAGTACGGTCCGCCCGCCCGCGACATCCTCGAAGTACTAGTGTGGGAGGAGCTGGGGCGGGGACGCGGCGACAACTAGGGCGTCGACCCGAGGAGTTATCTTCCCGGACGCCGGGGTTGGCCCGCGCGTGGAGCCCTCTGCCCTGCCCGGGGAGTGCCTGATGGGGACCCCGTTCCTCCTCGCAGGAGGCGGGGACACGGGAGGCCGGGGTCGCAGCGCGCCCTGGGTGGGCTCTTCTGCCCGCGTGCCGCCCGCGCCTCTCAAGGTGGACGAGCTGTGCCGCCGCCCCAGTTCCTCCTGAAATTCACACACAACCTGCTCACACGCGCAACTGTGAAAAACGCACGTAGGGTCCAGATAGAAGACTGACGATAAGTTCACGAGCATTTGGCTGTGGGGACGGAATAAGGTGCGCTCCTCCTCCACAGAACGCAGTGGGTCACATTTGGGGACTCGGCCCCAAGGAATATTCTGGTAGGGGAATGTGCTTTCCGTAGTGAACAAGTACCGTTTCAGCAACGTATATGTCAGCTATATTCTCGGAAGAGTCAGTGAACCTGCGCTTAAGCTGCAGAAGTAGCCCGGGCGCACTGGCCCGCACTGTAATCCAGGCGCCTTGGGAGGTGCAGTCAGGAGGATCGCTTGAGCCTAGCAGTTCGAGACCAGCCTGGGCAACATAGTGAGACCCCCATCTTTTTGTGTGTGTGCGTGTGTGTGTGTGAGTCTCGCTGTGTCGCCCAGGCTGGCGTGCAATGGTGCGATATCAGCTCACCACAACCTCCTCCTCCTGAGTTCAAGCGATTCTCCTGCCTCAGCCTTCCAAGTAGCTGGGACTACAGGCATGTGCCAGCATGCCCGGCTAATTTTTGCATTTTTAGTAGAAACGGGGTTTCACCATGCTGGCCAGGCTGGTTTCAAACTCCTGACCTCGTGATCCGCCTACCTCGGCCTCCCAAAGTGCTGGTATTATAGGCATAAGCCAGCACGTCCGGCCTGATACCCCATTTTTATTTAAAAAAAAGAAAGGAGGGAGGAAGGAAAAGAAAGAGGAAGAGAGGGCCAGGCGCACTCTTCCTGGGCTCACGCCTGTAATCCCAACACTTTGGGAGGCCAAGGCGGGCGGATCACGAGGTCAGAAGATCGAGACCGTCGTGGCTAACACGGTGAAACCCTGTCTCTACAAAAAATACAAAAAATTAGCCGGGCATGGTGGCGGGTGCCTGTAGTCCCAGCCACTCGGGAGGCTGAGGCAGGAGAATGGTGTGAACCTGGGAGGCGGAGCTTGCAGTGAGCCGAGATCGCACCACTGCACTCCAGCCTGGGCGGCAGAGTAAGACTCCATCTCAAAAAAAAGGAAGAGAGAGAGAAAACGACTGCAAAATTATGTCTAGAGTTCTATGATATGGGGCACCCAGGCCTCTAAAATACCCTTGCTGTCCCCCATGACCTTGAGGACCAAATGCCTGCCATGCCTTGGGTCTCTGACTCCCGGCTACACAGCACACCCAGCACTGCACTCAGGTGCGGTGACTGGTTTTCCAGAGGTCCCAGAGGAGGCTGGGTGCACAGAGTCCAACTGAGGAGCCTCAGAAGGAGTGGAAGATAGATGGGTTAATTTCCATCGTAATTACAGCAAGTCGTTGGGCAAAACTCCGCCAGAGAGGTCTGTTGGGGAGAGAGTGGCATGACGCACTGACAGGTCCCTGGGTCCAGTAAAGGCTGCCACCTGGCGTGGCCCCAGGACTGGGCAGATTTGGGCCTCGGTGCCTCCAAGGCACCGAGGGTGGGACTAGGCCAAGCCTGCACACCTGTGCAGGCCAAGGTGCAGGAGGCGGGAAATCCAGGCAGGCCTGGGTGTGAGGACAGGTTGTGGAGGCCTGCACTGCCAACCCCTTACCCATCCAAAGCATGGCTCTGAGCCAAGGCAACTACTTGGTGGGCAAGCTGGTGAGGTGTGCGAGGGGCACAGTGAGGCTCGAGGGAGGGAGTGAAGAGTGAGATTCAGAAGCAGAAGACTCAGGTGAACAGCTGAAGACAGGGTGACTTGGATACCAGAGGGGCTCCCTGAGCTACCTAGACAACGATTAAGTATCCCCTCCAGCCCCAGGGTCAACAGGACAGCCCAGCTCCTGGAAGCCCAATTCCCCTTCAGAGACAATCCAATTTCTCTTGTTGCCTAGGCTGGGGTACAATGGTGTGATCCGGGCTCACTGCAACCTCCTTCTCTCAGGTTCAAGTGATTCTCTTGCCTCAGCCTTTTGAGTAGCTGGGATTACAGATGCCCACCACCACGCCCAGCTAATTTTTGTTTTTGTTTTTGTTTTTTGAGATAGAGTCTCACTCTGTCACCCAGGCTGGAGTGCAATGGCAGGACCTCAGCTCACCACAACCTCCGCCTCCTGGGTTCAAGCGATTCTCCTTGCTTCAGCCTCCTGAATAGCTGGGATTACAGACACCCCTCACCACGCCCAGCTAATTTTTGTATTTTTAGTAGAGATGGGGTTTCATCATGTTGGTCAGTCTGGTCTCAAACTCCTGACCTCAGGTCATCTGCCTGCCTCGGCCTCCCAAAATGCTGGGATTATAGGCGTGACCCACCGTGCCTGGCCTATTTTTATTATTTTTGTAAATGTCTCACTCCGGGCAAATTGAGGGATGTGGTGCTCACCAGGGGGTGGGGGTGAGACAAGGGAGGGAGAAACGTGGGGCCTGGGTTAGGCTATGCCGCCCCACTTCTGCGGAGTCCGGACCCCCACGCCCCCATCCTCCGAGATGACAAAGGAGCAGGTCGGGATGCCAAGATGTCTCAGGGTGTTGAACACAAGCCGTGTGTGCGGCGGCCCCGTCACATGTGGCCCACATTGACAATGCCACGGGAAGCCTGTGTGCCAGTGCCCGGTGGCTGAGGACACACTGTGGTCCTCCCAGGTGCTTGGCTCCCCCAGGTCGTAAGTTTCAGCTGCTGCACGTCATGGTCACGGGGCAGATGCCCTGCTGAGGACACTGGGCCGCGTTTGCAGACTTGAGGCACCCACATCTTGAAGGGCCTTGTGTGGACACTGCCCTTACCCTCAGGCCGGCCCCTCCTGTCCTGAACTCCCACAGGACTGGTTGCCCGAGGACTGTGCATGTGGGGCTGCAGGACCTCAACAGCCCCAGGTCTCCTTTCTCCATGTGGCCCCCCAACCTGCAGAGATGTGCTGCCTCCAGGCCCCTGGCATCCCAGCCCAGCTGAACCCATGAAGAACAAGCCTCCCACCTTCCCCACCCCAGAGACATGCCGGGGCCTGTCCCTCCACTGAGTCAGTCTCTCACACACGCACCCAAACAGGTGACAGGGCAAGCCTGCCCCACCCATGCCCCCCACACCATCACCTTGGACCCAGAAACACTGCCCAAGAGGGTGTCGGGCTTCCAAAGACACGGAGATGCGGAGCCACAGCCCATCCCTCTGTGCCTGTGGGTGGAGCATGGCGGAGGGCAGCCCCAAATCGCAGCCCTGGTGGTGCCTGAGTCAGAGGCAGCTGCTCCCAAGGATGTGCTGGGGGCTGGGTGGGGTCTTTCTTTGTGGACAGCAGAAAACCAACCATGGGGCCTTCCCATGCCCTTGGTGGCCAGGCCACATCAGCTTTGTGGGATATAAGGCTCCGGCAGCGAAGCACTCCCAGCAGGCCACACGCCCTGGCCTGGGAGTAGAAACCCACAGGACTCTCAGAAAAAGCCCAGAAGCTTGCAGCCTGTGAGGGGCAGTGCGGCAGCTCAGGAGGGAAGAGCTGACTGGGAGGGTCATGCTGGGCTGTGCCATGGTCAGCCGCATTCTGCCCCCCAGCTCCTTCTCTCCATTTCTCAGCCCTCGACCCGTGAGGAGGAAAGCACAGGACAATGCGGGCCAGGCCCCGGCAGCCAGGTGGGGCGGGTGGGGCTGCTGTGAGGCATGTGAATGCACCTGACTGGAGCAGAGGAAACCAGTTCTTTGGTACTGAAGCAACAAAAAGCTGTCAGGGAAGAGCCACATCTCCTAAGCAAAGGTCGGGGAAGCAAGCTGTACCCCTCCCAGTAGCCCTGAGAGTCCCAGGGGAAGAAAGGACCGGGGCTCACTCCTCCAGGCAGGGTTCCTTCCCACCCTGTTAAGCTAGCCCTGCTCAGCCACCACAGGGCATACCAGGCGGCAGCCAGGGTGAGGATGGGAAGGGCCCACCTCCCTCAAGGTGAGAAGCTGGGCTGTCCAACCTCTGACCTCTGAAGCGAGCCTGAATGCAGGGCCAGCAGCAGGACCCCGAGAGCAGCATGGGGGACACCCCTCAGACTCTCACCCAGCCAGGCACCCAAGCACTAACCCAAGCTTTCCGCACAGCCTGGGGACGCTGGGCCCTCAAGGCTGAATCTACAGTAAATAGACTCTTTCTCACTAAAATTGTGTAACTTATCAAAGAGCCTGCAAGGAGTTTAATCTTTTTCCTGGGAAGAGACAATTTCACCCTGCTTTCCGAAAATGTCTGCTGAGCCCTGTGGCTGAGTCCTGTCTCCCTGGGAGTGGCCAGTTGGCCAGGGCAGCCCCGACCCTACCTGGATCTCCCTGCCCAAGCCTCAGTCTCAAGACCCCATGACAGAGTGTAGGGGGAGGCAGCGTCTCTGAGTCTTCCTCGGGGAACGTGTGCGGGCACAGAGATGGGGACGGGGCAGGCTCTGACCCCCAGGCCAAACCAAAGCTCCCACGCTGTCCATTCACAGCCATGCCTTCCCCTCGAACAAAACAGAAAGTACGAAACAAGGCTGCCTTTTAATTGCTATCAGATATTCGGATATCCCGTCTGACGTCAGCAAGGCCCCCGCGCCCGGCCGGAACCCGCAGGGATGGAGCAGCCCTGCCGCCTGACTGCACCGAAGGGCTGGGGCAGGGTCGCTGTGCCTCTCGGCCTCCTTGCTGCCACCGTCTCTGAGCCTCGGGGTGCCTGGTGCACCATCTCCTCTTCGGGTCAGCCCAGCCTCTGGCGGCCCTCGGAAGGAGGGGAGGCAGGGGTCAGGGGGTGAGCCGGAGGCGGGGGTCCTGTCACGCACACATGCAGACTTGCCCTGTGTTGGCTTCGTTTGTTCTCCTCCTTTGCTAAAATGATCAGATAGTCCCGTGAAGCAGCTGCCAGCCAGGTGGACAGGGCAGCGGTGCTGGGATGCTGCCCGTCAGCTCCTTGGGCGTCCTGAGGCCCTGCCCTACTTCTGTATCTGGAACAGGAAGAGCCGCAGGTTGATGTTCTTGGCGGCCAGCAGCTTGTTGCACTCCACGGAGTCAATGATGGGCAGTGGCACGTAGTCCGTCTCGTTGCTCTCGTTGGTGAAGACGAAGTGGTAGATGACAGGGCTGATCCTCACGTCATCGTAGGGGCCCTTGAGCAGCAGGAAGGAGCACTCCAGTGGTGCTGTGACCTTGCTCTTGAGGAGGAGCTGAAAGGACAGCGTACGCTTGCACGACAGGTTGGGGTTGCGCTCCGAGTCATTGACGCGAGCCTTCAGGACCCACGTCTGGTTCAGCACTGTGAACCTGGGTGTCTCGTAGTACAGGCGCGTGATGAAGTCATCTGTGCGGTACGGCCGGAACTGGACCTCTGTGGAGACAGACAGGGCCGGAAAGAGCCGGCTGTTAGTGTGGGCAGGGCTGGGCAGCAACGCCTTCCCTGACCAGGCCGAGGGCAGGCTCAGCCGGGGAGGAAGGCAACTTACCCGGGCACCGAGCTCTGCTTGTCACAAGCAAGCCAAACGCAACTATGGCAAATGGAGGCGCACACAAGCTTTGAGGGGAACAACTACAAACAGAATCAACATGGATTAGCTGGAGAGAGTCCAGAGGCTGCACGTGTCAGGCCACACCCCAGGCGTGCCCGACCCACGCTGGCCTCCCTCATCGCCCCGAGTCCCGGGTGTCCCCCAGGGCGGGGTAAGCAGACACACAGACAGGATGCGGTTCCGAGAACAAGTGCACTTTATTGGTTCTGATACAGAGGAGCTGCCAGAAAAGCCAGCAGGCGGCTGCGGCACCCAGCCCTGCCCGAGGGGAGCACCAGGTCCAAGGGCGCCAGGCCTGATCCGGAGCTGCCAGTCAGCAGGCAGCCCTGCCTGCATAGTCCTCTTGGGCAGCCCACAGCCTGTGGCCGGCAAGTCCCTCCGCGGAGGCGTGGGTTCCCAGGTGGCCAGTCTTTCCTGTATGAATGGGGCTTCCCACCTGGCCACGGCCGCAGCCACAGTGCCCCAGCCTGCCTAGACTCCATGAGACCCTGGTATCTCCAGGACAGCTAAGGCTGCTACTCACCACAGGCTGTGGCTGCCGCAGAGACCCCAGGCCCTCAGCCTCTCTGGCCTGCTTGGGCCCACATCCCGCTGGGCACAGTCCAGGCAGCAGGGCGAGACTGGCTGCCCATGACCGCCCTGCTTGCGCCACGCCTGGTGCTCTGAGCTGGCCGCCTGGTGTGGGCTGAGAGTAGAGGGACGGAGCTTCCTCCAGTGGCCCCAGTATCAACAGGTGCTTCTTGCTGTCCTCTGGGCCAGACTCTGGCCTGGCTCCTGCTCCCCGACATGTTCAAAGGCGGTGGCAGTGGCCCAGAGATCCAGTGTGCCTGCGCACGCATCCAGCCTGTGCGTCTGTGGGTGTCCACTCCCGGTTCTACAGTTTGAGTCGGGCACCCTCAGCTTGTTCTGGAGCCCTGTCCCTGCACGGCTTCGTGCCAGCCTTGAGAGGCCCACGGCTGGGGCAGTGACTGCCTGTAGGCAGGACCTCACTCGGCAGGGTGCTCTTCTCGCTCCAGGGTCCGAGGGGCAGGCCCCTAGCTCCCAGGCGCCCTGAGACCTGCTTGCTTTCTGGTTAGACCCTGACTGTCTTGAGGCTCTGGAGCCCCACAGTGAGATGCCACCTTGCGGGGGTGGTGAAGCCAGGGTGGGGAGGACAGGTGGGCGGGGCTGCCGTGAGAGCCACACAGGTGTGCACCTGGGGTCTGCCTCGGCCTCTCCTTCTGCTCAGTCTCCGGCCTCTCTTCTTGCCCGAGGTGTCCTCCTGTCCACCGGGAGCTCGTCCAGAGCCCAGCCGTCTGGTGCCGTCAGTGCCCAGTGCCCAGAGCCTGCTGCCCCCAGGCTCCTGGCTGCCAGCCCCCCACGCCCACACCTGTGTGGCATGCAGCAGGCGGCGGGGCGCCTCACCTGTGTAGCCGATCTTCTCGAAGCTGAGCAGGCTGAAGATGCTGTTGTACAGCTGCATCTCCTTGCGGTGGCTCTGGTCCATCCCATCTAGGATCTCCATCAGCTCGCTGCCTGTCTTGGTCGGGTGGGCACATGCAGCTTCGTGCACTGTCAGCTCGTGGAAGGGGCCGTGCCACGGGCAGCCGATGCGTTTGTACTTGCACTGGGTTACCCTGGGGGAGGCAGGCACATCACTCACAGCCTGAGCCCCCAACAGGCGGCTGCAACAAGCTGTCCTCCCACATGGCTTCCATCCAGCTAAGAACCCCTTCCTGCAGGACACACGTAACTGTGAGCCCAGCCCCCAGGATGAAGTCAGAGTGGCAGTGTGTGGAGAGGAAGGAGACAGGCAGTAACAGGGAGAGAGAGGGGAAGGAACAGTGCAAGCTTGAGCCCACATGCCCCGCACCGCGGCGTGGTTCTCTCCTCTGCTTGGCAGCGGCGGTCCTGTACAGCCTCACTGCAGGAGACTTGGTGGCTGCCTCCACTGGATGGGTAGCCATGGGCAGTGTAGCCTCACACCAAGCTCCCTGAGGTCCTGTGTTGGACACGCTGTCCTGGGCCCTTCAAGAGGCTCCCCCACAGCCACAAAGAGCGCTGGAAGGCTAGGCTCATGTCTGGGTAACAACTGGACGCAGAACCTGCCTGTTCTCATCCTGTGCAGGCACCGTCCCCCAGGGCCGTCGCTGGGCTACACAGGTGGCCTCCGAGGCCCAGGCAGCAGGGACGGCCAGACCCCCCTGCACAGGGCCCTGCTGCACCAGGGTGGGCTTCCAGCAGTCCTCAGCCCTGCCTGTGAGGCTGAACCCCTGACCCTCAGTTACCTGTCCTGGCATTCCTCTTTCTGGTGCCTCTCCAGGAGGGAGCGGGGAAACTGGCGCAGGCAGAAGCCACACTCTGAAGGCAGCTCGCTCACGGCTTTCTCCACAGCCAGGTTCCGGCAGCAGAGGCTCTTACTGATCTCACAACGACAATTGGGGCACGTGGCCTGCTCCTCCTTCAGCCGGGCATCTGCTAGTAGGTGGATAAAACAGCCAGCGCACATCAAGTGACCATTAGTACACTGCGAAGAAGGAAAGGGAGACGAAGCTCACAGACCTGCGGGCTTATGCTCGCACACACCCGCCCATGCCCGTCAGCTCTGGCCAGGTGTCCTGAGGGACTCCAGCTAGTGCAGAGGGGCGCATGTGCCTGTCCCGAGTCGTGCTGGAGTATGGTGAACACTGAGAGCTGCTCAGGAGAGACAGGCAGAGCCAGCTTGGGTTCTTGCAGAGATTAGAGGTCCTAAGGGCAAGGCCTCATCAGCTCACAGAGGCGACAGCTCGCCCTGGCAGTGATGGGTGCAGCCACCTGAGGCTTAGAGCCAGGCTTTTCCCTTAAGGACCAGCGACTGCCCTGACTCCCCTACAGGTCCAGAGTTTGGGAGCCCTCCAGAAACGCTGGGCTCTTGGCCAACACTGTCAGGTGGGGAGCGGACACGGCTCCCACACTGGGGCAGGCATGTTCTCTAGGTCTTCAGAAAGGCCATTCATCCTGGGTTGAGAGGATCTGGCTCAGAGAGGTCCTGAGAGGACCAGCCTAGCCTGGCCCTTCTATTCCAGCCCTCCCCAGGGAGCCCAGGTGAGAGGAGGCAGCTGTCCCCCCATCCAGGGAGATCGGCTACCTGCAGAGGCCTCCTCAGAGCTGGAAGGCAGGAGCCAAGCTGGCCCAGGACAAAGGCAGGTGAGCACACGGGGAGTGCCTGGGGAGTGCGAGTGGGAGTGGGGGCTCTGAGTGGGTGCCCAGCCTGCTGGGGTAACCAGGGCTGGCAGGAGCAGGGCACCTCCCGCTGGGCTCCCTGCCTGTGTGGGCTCCCAGCACGGCCAGTGGCCCATCCTGGCTCTCACTCCCTCAACATAAGCCTTGAGCGTCCACTTGGTGCCACTGAGAGACACTCAGCAAGCTGCGGTCCCAGCCCGTAGGGGCTCCCAGCATGGGAGGCGGGAAGCCCAAACCAGAACCAAGAGGTCCAAGAGCAAACAAAGCCTTTTGTACCTGAGCAGACACAGCTCCCATAGCCCTGGCTGGAGTGGGGTGTGCAGGCTGAGGCATTCCAGGGACAGACAGGAGTGACAGGGATGTGATGTGCCTCCCACCTAAAGACTCACAACTCACTGAAGGGAGCAGTCAGCAGAGTTGCTCCTGTCCTGATGCCTCTCCAGCAGCTGGCCCAGGCTTGCCAGCCATGCAAACCTCCAGAAAGCCACTGGGCCACCGGCTTCCTTTGGGACCTGGGACCCTCTTGAGAATGGGATGTGGTGCAGCAGAGGGGCCTGCCCAGGCCCAGCCTCTCTACAAGGTGTGTGTCAGGGAGGGGACACTCACAGGGCCCTGCCTGGTGGTGCTGGGAGGCCACCCCTGCACATGTGGGGCCCTGGTAAGCCTGAGCTGCCATCCTGTTGCTTCAGCGGCCTGTGCACCCCAAGCTAAGGAGCGGCCAGATGCTGGGGCTGTTTGCTCAGCACCTGTGAACCAGGCCTAAGGTCTGCTGAGTCAAAGGACCTACATGTGGAGAACCGACAGTGGGGACAAAGCCCTTTTTCATGGAATCCACCTCCACATGACCACCACCTGCATTCAATTCTCAAGTTCTCAGTTTGGTTAAAAATTAAAATGACAGGCAGTGGCTCATACCTGTAACCCCAGCTCTTTGGAAGGCCGAGGCAGGCAGGTCACCTGAGGTCAGGAGTTCAAGACCAGCCTGGCCAACATGGTGAAACCCCGTCTCTACTAAAAATACAAAAATTAACCAGGCGTGGTGGTGCATGCCTATAATCTCAGCTTCTCGGGAGGCTGAGGCAAGAGAATGGCGTGAACCCGGGAGGCGGAGGTTGCAGTGAGCCGAGATGGCGCCACTGCACTGCAGCCGGGGAGACAGAGTGAGACTCTGTCTCATAAATAAATAAATAAATAATTAAAACATACACAGCTGCCTGAGTCTGGCTCTGATTGGGTGGGGACAAGCTGAGGCCTGCCCCAGGAGAAGGTGTGAAAATCCACCAGCTAAGTCCAGGGGTCAGCGGTGGGTGGACTCTGGGCAGGAGTGGGCACAGACGCTGTTGAAGCAGCTGTCCCACGGGAGGCACAGACCAAGGGCCCACACCACTGCCTTCTCACAGCCCCCCACCCTGGAGGCGTACCCCTCCATGTGGCCAGCTCTAGACACCTGATGAGACTGCCCGCGTCCCCTGGACGAGGTTCTGGGCCCAGCTCTGCACGTGCAGTGTGTCCTGAGCACAGGCACAACGGTACTCTTCTTGGCTGTGGCCCAGCCCCCAAGGGAGTTCCAGGCAGGGCTGGAGCACCTGATCCCACCCACTAAGGCCATCTGGCCTCTCTTCCTGGCTCTGGATAGCCCAGGAAGATTCGAGGTGGAGTCCTGGACCCTCCCAAGGGAGCACTGAAGCTACTGAGCACATCACCACTTACCTCCCAGCACTGCCAGCCTCTCCCCTGAAAGCTACCCCAGCTCCTGGGCCAGTCCCTGGCCATAGGCCTCATTCCTTTGGGGCCTCTAGACCCCAGCATGGGCTCAGTCAATTCCATACCATGGGGAGGCAGCAGTGGCCCTGCCCTCCTCTGGCTCCCTCTGGGCCTCTGAGAGGAACTGCAAGCTCTGAGGAGACACAGGGCCACTGCCCCTTCAGCCGCAATGGTGCCTGCCACTCAAGTCAGAACACAGGGAGTCCCTAAGGTTCCCTGGACCACACTGGCCCAGCAGCCAAGGGACATAGCCACACCCACCCCCAGACCCTCCTCACTGGTCAAGGGACACCCTCCAGGTGCACGGCCCGGGCCCGACCAACACTCAGCCCAGGAGGTCTGTCCACAGCAGGACGGTCACCCGTCACAAGCTCCAGAGCCTTCCCCACCATCTGGGTCCCCTCAGCCCCTGAGCAAGACTCTGGCTCCACACCAAGGCCAGGCCACAGGCAGCTGCATCCTTGGCCCTGGCAGCATCTGGTCAGATGCACCTGATTCTGACTTGTGCCCACCACCTGACAGAAGCTGGGCCCTGGAGGGCTCCACACGGTCCAGGGGATGGCATGGGGCAAGGCCCCCAAGAGCCCAGGCACCTTCAAGAGCAGCTGCTGCAGCACCCAGGCCAGGCCACCTCTCACTACCAGCCAAGAAGACTCCACGGGAGGCGAGAGGAGGGAATCCCACACTCCCCCACAACCAAGGATGACATCATGGGGATGACATCACTGGGGTGATGTCACATGGGAAATAACATCACGGGGTGACATCATGGGAGACTGACATCATGGGGGGACTGACATCACAGAAACATGACATCACAGGGGAATGGCATTATGGGGGTGACATCACAGAATGATATCACATAGATGACATCAAAGGGGGATGACATCGTGGCAGGCTGACATCACGGGGTTGACATCAGAGGGAGTATTGGCATCAGAGGGGATGGTATTGTGGGGAACTGACATGATGGGGGGACTGACATAGGGGATGACATCATAGGGGTGATATCACAGGGGATGGCAACATGTGACATCACAGGAATGTCACATGGGGGAAATGATGTCACGGGGTGACACTGCAGGTAATGCTACCACGAGGGAATGACATCACAGTGGACTGTCATCACAGGGTAATAACATCACAGGGCCTCCTGGCCCCTCCTAGGGCAGATGTGGGCTTGAAGCCACAGTGCTGGGCTCAGACCCCAGCCCACAGGTCACCAGTAGTATGACCCTGGGCTCTCCTCTTGGGGCCTCAGTTTCCTCACGTGCACAGGTGATGAGTATAGGACCAGCTTCATTCTGTGCTGATGAGGTGGGATGGGACAGGGTGGCACTGCCCCACACCCAGCAGGCACAGAGGAAGTATCACCACCTTGGGCAGCCATGGCGGAGCTGCTGGGGCTGCCAACCCCAGGAGCCAGACCCCAGGCCCCTCTGCAGATGCTGATACACACAGGTGGCCCAGAAATGGCCATTTGCACCTGCATCCTCAGGACAGCACCCAGCCCTCCCCCCTGCGAGCTACAGGCAGCTCATGCAGACCCAGGATCTCCACTTGAGCTACTTCTTCCCTGGGGTTAAAGGGGAGCTGGATGGGCTAAACAGGCTCAAGAAGGAGCCCTGACCCTGTCCCCCAGCCAAGGGCCCCGACTTTCTGGTGGTCCCAAGGTCCCTATGGTCAGCTGGCCTCGTAGGAAGCTTTTCGAGCCTGGACTGCATGGGTCTCTCAGACCCTGGGGACCCCCTGTTTTCCACTGGAGGATGGCATAGTGCCCAGGCCCATGGGAGCAGTGCCCTCACTCACCTAGGGCTGAGGGACCCACCGGCCCTTGACAGAGGTCGTCAGAGCCAAAATGCAGCCAAAGGGCTTCCCTGTGGCACAAACCACAAAAGCGCTGCTCAGCCAGTTGGAGGTTCCCCTTCCTCTGCCATCTGCATGCAGGCCCCACCAGGGCCAGTGGTGCTTCAGGACACACCCCACATGCTCGGCCCCTGACCTCCTGGATCAAACATGGGTCTGAGAGGGACCGGCACATTGTCCAAGGCCACACAGCTGGTTAAGTGTGAAGCCAGGACTCAAACCCTCTGCCCAGGCTGGATTTGAAATCCCTCAACTGCTACTGCTGTCAGACCTCAAACGGGGGCCAGTCAATACCCAGAGTCAGGCTCACATTCAGAACAAGGCTGCTTAGATCTAAAAGTAACTCAAATGATAACCACCACAGAAAATAAAAATTCTCAATTAGCCAGATTCCAGAACCTCTTCCTTGCTCCTGTGAGTTTTAAATACCTAAGCAGACATAGTTACAAAGATCTTTCTTTTCTGCCACTTTCCTCACCGCAAAGAGCAAGTCAGCTGCAGTCCTGTACTGCTGCCCAGGAGACTGGGGAACAGGGGCCCGAAGCTCCTTGGACATGTGGATGGTGACTCCATCCCCACAGGACTGTGCACTGTTGGACTGGCTGGGGCTGTGGGGCTCAGGCAGAGAGGAGTCATCTCTGCTTCCTGGGCTGTTATCAATGGGACCGTCAAGATGTGGCAGAGACATGGGCGCTACAGGCGGGAGGGCAGGTGCATACACCAACCCACCCACAGGACAGAGTGGACACACCCTGGTCAGATGGGGCAGGAGAGGATCCTTGTAGCAAGGAGAGAAAATCTCAAAGTGGGAGCGCTGCCTCTGTCGGGCCCAAGAGGTGGGCAGGGGGAGAGAGAGGACACCTCAGGCAGGAGGGCACGGGAGTGGCGGGGCACTGTGCAGGGCTGAGTTACAGGGAGCGGCTGGAACACATCTGAGAGGCCTCAGCCCGGTCCTTACACGAGAGTGAGCTTGTTTTTGCCTTAAGAATGCCCCAAGAGGGGTGGGAACAATGTGCAGTCCCTTCCTCCAGGTGCCAGCACCAAGGCCCAGGGTCTCAGCTGACATCAGCAGGAAGGGTCAGGGCCAGGTCTGTCTTATGCAGGACCACACTGGGCCTCATCTGAAGGGCCAAATCAGAGGGAGAGAAGTCAGGGATGAGGTTGCGGCTGCAACGTCCCGGGCACTAGTGAGGCTGTGTCTTCCCAGAGGAGGTGCCCCATGGGCAGAGGTGCCAACAGGCCACACTGCCCTCAGGCCACAGAGCAGGGAGCCAGCAGGAGCCACCCGACCACCTGCTCGGCCTGAATAGTCCAGAAACTCCTGCACGGGTGTCCCTGCTGGCCCTGCTAGCCCTCTTGCCACCCACCTGAGACTCCAGAAGGTGGCTGTACACCTTGTCAGGCCAGTCACCCAGGACACATCCAACACCCACACAGAGAACATCAAAGCTGGGTCTTGCTGTACCGGCTGCAGCCCCAACCTGACGTGACGCAGGACTCGGCGGTGGCAGAAACCGTTTGCACGAGGGCCTCAGTCTGATACCCAAGCAGGTTTCCCAGCCTGCGAGGCATCATCGTGCAGGCACAGGCCTGTGGGTCAGCCGGCCCTGCAGGCCCAAGGGCTCAGACCTGGGGCACCACCCGAGGCTTCCCTGCCAGCACTGGTGGCATCTGGTATCTGGATGACAAGCTCTCGAGTTACTGAGGACCCAGCCAACTCCAGAGGCCCATGGGATTGTCCCCCACAGCCCCAGTGCCAGGCACAACACACAAGGTTCAGCATGGATACTCCCATCTTCATCTCACCAGAGTTGGGGACTGTCTGAGTCAGCCCCCAGCTTGGCTGGTGCCCACCCTGAGCCATGTGTTCTGCTGGGGTCAGGAAAAGCATTGTAGCAGGAACAGAGAGTAGAACCTGCTGCATTCCTGACACTGGCTGGCTCGAGACAGCCAATCAACACAGTCACCAAGGAAGGCTAGTAGAATATGGCAGACTGAGCCCAAGCTGGGGTGATGGCCAGCATGGGCCCAACCAGGGACACACAGAAGGCAGCATGTAGAGGCCCACACCATCTGTGCCCAGATTCTCCAGGGAGCAGAGCAGGCAGGAGTCCAGGTCTCCAGGTCTGTGTTGACCTTCCGGGGGCGCCACTCACAGCAGAGGGCCACCCCCCGGAGGTGTTCTCAGCAGCATTCGGGGAGGCCAGTGCCCACAGCACTCCTCGCTCAGCTGCTCTGTTCCCAGGGAAGTCACTGAGCAGAGCCCTCAGGCCAGGGAGGGCCACCAGCCAGGGCAGCCCCAGTGCCTTTGGTCTCCATTACACCTGCTCAGCTCCCTGCCTCTGGCCGCCCAGGGCAGAACTCTGCTCCGCACAGTGCAGGCCGGTTTGAACCAGCCAGGCTAAGGCCTGGTCACCAGGAGCTCCGGTCAGAAGCAGAGCCATCACTCTGTGTTGGGCCAGCCTAGCTGGGAGACAGAGTGCACCAGGGACCAGTATCATGTGGCCCATCATCACCAGGTCCAGCTGCAGCTCCAGCCCACCCACCAGTGGGGAGACAAGGAGAATTCTCTGTTCCCCTGTGACCTCACACCATTGGCTTGGCTTGTTGGAGTCTCCCTCGAGATCCAAGAAAAAAAGAGTTCTGGCCGCGTACAGTGGCCTGTAATCCCAGCACTTTGGGAGGCTGAGGCGGGCGGATCACCCAAGGTCAGGAGTTCGAGATCAGCCTGGCCAACATGGCGAAACCCTGTCTCTACTAAAAAATACAAAAATAGCCGGGCATGGTGGCAGGTGCCTGTGACCCCAGCTACTCGGGAGGCGGAGGTAGGGAGAACTGCTTTAACCCGGGAGACGGAGGTTACAGTGAGCCGCGATTGTGCCACTTCACTCCAGCCTGGGTGACAGAGAGAGACTCCGTCTCAAATAAAGGAGAGTTCTTCCACCTGGGAGGATCGAAGGTTGTGAGCCAGGAAAAGGGAGCTGGAGAGTGGGCACATCTTGGAAGCCAAGGTACTGCCAAAGCCAAGAAGTAACTGCTAACTCGGAGCCAGTGGCTCTGAAAAGTGCTCCCCTAGCTGGTCCTGGTGCCTGACACCCAGGAAGGTGGGTGAGAGCCAGCGATCTCTCCCTACCCAGGCACACTGGGATCCTCCCAATAAGGTCATGCCAGAGCAAGGACTTGGAGATCCAGAGTTTGGGGAAATGGTAACCCAGACTAGCCCTACACCACCTGTTACAAAAGTAGCTCCTCATCCAGGCCCCTAGTTTAAACACAAGCAGGGAAACGAGGCCCCGTTAGCTACTTTACTTCCAGCTCCTGTAAGTGTAAAGAAAGCTGACAGGGAACCTGCTTCATTTCTCACAAGGACTGGGGAGTTGAAAGGAGGGGAAGACACAGGGAAGGTGGGGACACTGTACTCTGCCTCTGCGTGTCAACCAGTTTGTCCCTGCTACCTGGGAAGGGTCATGTCAAACCCACCTGGACCAGGTACCCTCTCTAACAGCCCTAGATTGCTTAAGGGCTGAGTCCAACTGCCATGTGGATGTGAAGATGGGGGAGGAGGGGTGGGCCGGCCTCCTGGAGCACTGGCTGCCTGGGAAGCCTGGCCTGGCCTGGCCTGGGTGAGGTGGGCAGGAGCCTAGCATGGGGCATGGCAGGTCCAGGTGGATGCGGGGTTTGCCTGGGCCTGGAAAAGGTACCCAGACTGTGGGGCTTGTTGCAAATGGTTCATCCCGACAAGCAGCAATCCCCTCTCCCTACTGTTCTTCAAGATGAAGTGGAAATGGACAAAGTGAAAGGATTTTTCCACCCAGGAAGGTAGAAAAGATGTCCATAGGATGTTCAGGAGTGGAGGGACAAGCTCGGGGGTGTGGCTGCCAGAAGAATGGGGAAGGAGCTCTGGAGCACAGGACTCTGAGCCCAGGGAGCTTGGGACCGGGTGGGTTGAGGGGAGCAGTTGTGGGGTAAGGGTCAGTTTGAAGGTGTGGGTTGGAGGAGTGTTGAGGGGACCGTGGGGAAGTCTAGAAAAGAGAAGGGAGAAGTAATCGGAAGACAAGCGATTGAGATCGGGAATTAACGTGGATCAGAAAACAGAAAAGGGGGGTCCCGAGCTGAAAATAAAGCCCCGAGAGGAAGACAACGAGGAGCTTCAGAGCAGGCGCTGGAGCCCCGCTGGGCGAGGAAGTGGCTGTAAGGGCCGGAGAGAGTTCCTGGCCGCCGGGCCCCGCGGGCCTGGCCTCCAAAGAGACGCGGATCCTGGGGCCCAGCAGCGGGGGCTGCAGCCCCGGGCTGGGCCGGGTCGGGGTCGGCCGGCGGCCCTACCTGGTACACGGAGGCCTTGGGCAGGTCCAGGCACACGGTGCAGCACAGCACCGAGTAGAGCCGCTCCTCCAGTTTCCCGCTGCCGGCCGCCGCCGCCGCCGCCGCCGCCTCGGCCGCCTCGGCTGCCCGCAGCCGCTTCTTGGGCGGCGCGTCGGGGTCGCCGGCCGCCTCCTGCAGCTGTAGCTGCCGGGCGCCCGCCAAGCCCGCCTCGTCCGGGAGCCCAGGCCCCGCCGCCTCGCCCAGCGCCGCCGCCGCCGCCTGCCCGGCGGCCGCCCCGGGCCCGGCTCCGACCCCGACCCCGACCCCGACCCCGGCCGGCACAGCGCCCGCGGGCCCCGCGGCCGGGCCGCCCCCGCCGGCCTCCTCGGCGCCGGACATAGCGACCGGCCGGCCCGGCGGGCGGATGCCGGCGCGCTCCCGCGACTAGAAGTTAAGGGTGCCGCGCGCTCCCGCCGCTCTCCCGCCGCCGCCGCCGCGACCCCGCAGCCCCGCTCCCTGCGCCGCCGCCTCAGTGGGCCCGGCCCGCGCGTCGCCCCGCAGGAGCTGCGGCCACCGACCCCGGCACGGCCGCCATCTTTGTTTTCGCTGTGCGCTTCCCCCCGCCCCGCCGCCACCACCCCCTCGTCTTCCCCGTCACGTGAGCTCCGCGCGGGGCCAATGGCAGCGCCGCTTGGGGCGAGAAAGCGCAGGGGTCAGAGCCAATGGGAGTGCGAGGGCCTCCAAGGGCCCGCCCCTGCAGGAGGTGGGCGGGGAGGGGGCGGGGCCCGCGAGAGTCGCGGAGGGACGCTCACCTGGGGGTAGGGAGGCCCACGCGAGCTGCGGCGCCGGCGCAGCACCCACGCTCCACGAGCCAGCGGCAGCTGCCGACCCCTACGGCGGGGTGTGCCTGCGTCTTTGTCCCCCAAGACTCAGGCTCGTGTGGTAGGGGCTCTCGCCCGGCTACCCGCAGGGGAAGGGCACAAATGAAAATCCCCGCGGGCTACCCATCTCTGTCGGGTGCGGGACCCCTTAGGTCTCCACAGTAGCAAGCGGAGAGACTTCCGGGAGAGGGGACTCCAGACCCCTAATCCACCGGAATCTAATCCTCTGCTAGTCCGAACCCCCATCCTAACCCTGGGGTTGGAGGCTGAAGGGGTCCACCGAGGAAAACGAAGGTCTTAGGGAGTAGGGCTGGCTTCCATAGGCCGGAGGTACACAGGAGGGCGAATCAACTCTGGGAAGGATGTGCGTTTCTTCAAACGGCTGTGGTACAGCCCTCCCCTGACTCCACCCTACCCGTCAGTTATTGAAGGTCACTGCCCCAGAGGACCACCTGCAGGCCAGGCCAGGATATCTGGAACTCCACCATGTCCCAGGAGAGTAAGGGCCTAGGGCTGTCTTCTCAGCCCAGAGGTCTTCCTGACAATGGTCGAAAGGAGGCCCGGCTGCGTGAGGCCCCATCCTAGTTCCAGTACATACCCTATCAGGGTAACCGGCTGCTGCCCTGAGGGGCCTTAGGAAGCTCACTGAAGGATCCCTCAATCCCTCTCAAAAATGGGCAGATTCCATATTCCTGCAAAATTCCTAATATTTATTGGAGTCTAGGCCTCTTCTCTGGATCCACAACCATGTCCAGCCCAGAATCAGGTCCCCCAAACGTGTTTGGGACCCTGTCCCTTTCATTCTGGTCTACGCAAGTCCCCACACGTGGCCAAAGGACAGCACCCAGACTCTGCTCCTGACCAGTCAGTGTGCAGCAAGCCCACTTCAGTGGGCAGGAGAGTCTACCTCCAGGGGAGAAGGCGCCAGGAGCAGGCAGGTGAGAGGGAGTGTTCAGCAGGGCAGAAACCCTGCCTTGCTGTATCCAACTGTCATTCCCACTGCAGGCGCTGTGTATGCAGGGCCCGGCAGTAAGCCCAGCTGCCTGCAGCCAGGGCCCAGCGACAGACATCCTCCTTCGGTAGCAGCAGCAGCCTGTCCTCCTCCAGCCGGCTCAGGAGGCCTGCCACACCCAGCATCGTCCCCCCCCACATCCCATAAGTGTTGGCCGTGAAGACAGCTACAATGAGGATGGTCACTGCGACCACCAACAGCATTGCCTGACCAGCCACAGAGCGGCCCTCAGGGCTGAGGTGGCCGCCAGCCACTGCTAGCACCATGCCTCCTCCCAGGAGCAGGTTGGCAGAGGAGCGGTCCCCATTCACCCAGTGGAAATCGAAGGCCAGAAGGGGCAGGCCGATGACGGTGGCCACCCAGGCTCCAGCAAGACAGTCTTCATGTGTGCTCAGCCCTGGGGCCAGCATGATGGTGGCAGCCAAGACCTGGAGCAGGAAGCCAGCAGCAGCCCCTCGACTTGCCTGTCAACACAGGGAAGGGAGAACACGTGGGAAAAAGAGGCCGGGGCCACCCTTTTAAACAGGAAAGGGTTTTGGGCTTCCATGGAGACCTGATCTTAGATGCACTTCCCACCAACCTCTCCCTAATTCAGGAAAGTAGGTCCTTCGGGTTTGGGAGGTATGGGGATGCGCCCCCGCTCAGCCCCAGTGTACTCACCTGGGCTGTGCTCACGGCTGCGTGCAGAGACACCACTCCCAGCACCAGATGGGACAGGGCTGTGCTCCACTCGGCCCCCGGCTTGGGGGCCATGGCACCTCAGGCGGTAGTAAGTATGAGGACGCAGATAGGAGATACTCAACTTTGGAGAAAAAAGTGCGAAGCCAGCGACCTGGAGCCCTAAGCGCGGCACACTAGTACGCCCAGGTTCCAGGGCCCCATTACTGGATGTTAGAAGAGGTTCAGTCTTAGATTTTCCGGATCCCTGGGGCCACTGCACACACCTGTGGAAAATAAGAACCTAATTCAGCTGGGAAACGGGGGAAAACGACTCGGTCTAGGTTGGGGGTACGTGAGCCGTGGGGCCCTGGAGCCCAAGTGGGAGTGCCAGGCTTGGGGAAGAGAGAGCGGCGGGGCGCCGCAGGCCCATGCGGCGGCCTCGGCCTGCTCCCTGCGCTCCGGGTGGCGCCGTTCTGGGAGCCCACGTCCAGGAGGAGCGATGGCGCAGGCCTCCGGGCGGCCGGCCGTGCGCAGTTACCGGCCTGCGCAGTCCCAACGCAGCGGCCAGCGAGAGGCCCGAGCCTGACCAACGCACCGCCCACCGCCGTGGGCCCTGATTCTTCTGCCAGGCTTCCGGGTGCGGGAGCGAGCGCGGTCGGGAACCTCCACCAGCGAGAGGAGCGGAGGCTAGAGCGGCCGGGCGGGGCTAGAGCAGCTGGGGGGCGGGGCCTGGGGGGCCGGTTGGAGGCCATAGGAGCGGGTGGGGTCGGGAGGAGCTCGGGGACCAGAAAACGCTGTTTGGGTGGGTGGGTGGGCTTAGTGGTTTGGAAGCAGCTTGATGAGGGGAGAAGGGCCGGGGCGGGGCTGCGAGGGGTGGGGTCTGGGCGGGGCTGCGAGGGGAGGGTGTCTAGGCGGGGCTGAGGGGAACAAGATGTAGGCGAGGCTGAGAGCTGCGGGTCTGAGAGGGGAGGGGGCCTGGGTGGGGCGGGGCCTGGGCCCCTATGCGATGGGGTCTGGGCGGGGCTGCGAGGGGGCGGGGTCTGGGCGGGGCTGCGAGGGGGCGGGGTCTGGGCGGGGCTGCGAGATGAGGGGTCTGGGCCAGACTGAGAGGGGCCGAGAAGGGAGGGGCCTGGGCAAGGCTGCAAGGGGCGGGGTTTGGGCGGGGCTGCGAGGAGAGGGGGGCCTGGGCGGGGCTGAGATGGGCGGGGCTCCGGGGAGGGGAAGGTGAACACCCGCGTGTTGAAGGCTCTCCGAAACCGGAGCGGTGGGGGACTATGCGGAGGGCGGGAGAAATTCCGAGGGGAGGGTCGCGGGAGCCGTGGGCACTCTCAGCCCGGTGTCCGTGGTGTAAGGGTTGGGGAGCGCGGCGCGGCGCCGTGAGAAGCGGCGGGTCTCCAGGTGCGGCCGCGGGCACCTGTTTCTGAGACCCCTGTCTCCGCGCTCGCCCTCCAGCCGTGGGAGCCGGGCCGTGGGGGCGGCCGTCGCGAGCATGCGCACCGGCACTGCGGCGGGCGGGCGCCGAGTCTGGGCGCGGGGACGCGGGGCGGCGCGAAGCGGGGCCCTCTGCCGCCCCGCGCTCCCATGTACGCCTTTTACTCGTTGCTTATCTACATCTTCTACAGCCTCTTTCGCAGGGATGGTGGCGCCGCGGCGGCCGCGGAGCCCGGGGACCCCGCCCAGGTGAGCGGGGCTGGCCGCGCAGCCCGTCGTCTCCCGCCGCCTGCCCCACCCCCACGCCGAGGTTCCCGGGGCGAGGGCGGGCACGAGGCGCGGGGCGACGGGGTCGTGCCGAGGACCGTCGGCTCGGCTCCGGTGCTGGAAGCGTAGATTTCGGCCCCAATCCTCCGGCCCGGTTCGCGGAGGGAAGGGGCCAGCAGGTTGCTTGCCCCCTCGTCAGGGGCGCCCCTGCTCCCTCCCTAGAGAGCCCGCAAGCCCCGGGGTCGCCGGCGGCCAGACCTGCCCGCGCCAGAGCTGTGGACCGAGCTGACCGGCCTGATCGGTAGGTGCGGGCTGGGAGCCCCGCTGTGCGAGGGCGGTGCCGGGACCTCCCTGGGAGGGGCGGAGGCCTGGCTCCAGCACGTGACCCGAAATGCCTCCCGCTCTCCTCCATGACCGGCAGGCAGCTCCGAGCCTGAAGATGGGTCGGAAAGCGGAGCCGAGGGCCGCGCGGCAGCGGTGTCCCTGGAGGAGGCCCTCCTGCGCCTCGCCGAGTTCCTCTCCGTCCAGCTGGGGGCGGAAGAGAGCTGCGGGAGCCCGGCCGACCTGGGCCAGGTGAGCGCGGCGAAGGGGCTGCTGGCAGCTGCCACCTGCGCAGGCCTTCCTGGCTCTCACAGCCCTGCTCCGATTCTTATCTCCTTCGCAGTCTGGCGAGGTCCCCCCACTGTTGACAGTGACCAGTCAGCTCTTGGCCCTTCTGGCATGGCTTCGGAGCCCCAGGGGGAGGCAGGCCCTGCTCCAGGGGACTCAGCCAGCACCTCGGGTCCGGCCCCCCACTCCAGATGGTGAGTAAAGGGCAGTAGCTTGAAGACGGACTCTGGAGGGAGCAAATCTTAGTAGAACCTGGGCGGCCTGGAGTTCGGGGTCCTGTTCCGGAGGATTTGGACCAGAGACCTCTTTCTTCAGTGCTAACTGGGCCCACCCTACTCCAGGATCCACATCCCAAGAAGAAAGCCCTTCCCACCTCGGCGCAGTCCCAGGCGAGCCACTGGGAGATGAGGCCCAGGGACAGCAGCCCCTCCAGTTGGAGGACGACCAGAGAGAGTGGCAGCGGCTGGAGCAGCTCATCCTGGGACAGGTGAGGCCTCAGGAGCCAGAAGGGATCAGGGGCTGGGGCGCCAGAAAAACGAGGTCCACCCTGTCTCTCGTACTTCTCCCCAGCTGGAGGAGCTGAAGCAGCAGCTGGAACAGCAGGAGGAGGAGCTGGGTCGACTGCGCCTGGGCGTGGTGAGGCTGCGGGGAGGTGGGGGGAGGACCTGGCAGGGCTGGGCATGGAAGGGGGTGCTTCAGGTGAGTACCGAGGCTTCCTCTCCACCAGGGGGCGACA